CAAAATTGGTTGGTAAATTCAACGAGTGGGTGCATCGACCTGGTATATCAAGTTTCTGCAATTTTTTACGGCAAATCAGTAGATTTTCGGGATGTAGATTGCTTACTTTCAATTCATGAATGAATAAAGCAACGACATGGTTGAACTTCTTTGCATGGAAAGACGTTTAAAATAACAAAATCAAGACGTATTTAATGCAATTGCATTTATATCGAGTCAATTTCTTTTCAATAATATAACGGGATTTTTACTACCGGTGATTTGGGTATTTTAGCCCCAAAATACCTTTAAATCGACTTTATCTTCTAGGAGTTCGACAGAATTTTTCCTTTCTTCGCTTAAATTATTCCGTAGCACTTTTCTTCAAGAATCTGATAAGATTTTGCTTGAGGCAGATCAAAAAACTTAAATTCGATCGAATAGCTTTCTACTTTCACAATACACGGTCTCGTCAAGGTGCGTCTTTGACCTCGCAGTGTTGGATCGTGAATTCTCTTGTTGTGCTGTTTGCCTATTTTGAAATCTCTGTAAATGAAAACTAAAGGGGTTGATATGTGCGAGTTAATGACGCGCCTTATCAACACATTGTGTTGGAGTTCACTGCTTGTTTTCAGCTACTCGTCATTTTTCTCCAATTTGGAGATCGCAATTCTGTTGTCAGGAGATTAAAGCACTCACTTACCAATTTTAACAAAAAAATTTCAACGTAATAAAGGCGTGGTTTTTTTAGAGAGAGAACATCGCATTCGATACTGATATCGAAACTGCCCTCGAATGCGATATTTTCTCTCTGAAAAAACCACGCCTTTATTGCATTGAAATTTCTTTGTTAAAATTGGTAAGTGAGTGCTTTAGTCTCCTGACAATAGAATTGCGATCTCAAAATTGGAGAAAAATTACGAGTAGCTGAAAAAATGGAACCAATTGACGCGATATATCGCATGCCATTCTGACACAAACTCTGGCGTCCATTGAATCACCTTAACCTTGATAAAGATGTCGTTATCTCTGGTGTGTTCACCTTGTTCTGATCTTGAGGAGTTGTTATGTGTTACGGTTCTGGGATTGGTATTCTTCGCTGCATACTCCTTCTTGGGGTTTCGTTGGTTCGAGATGTGGCTGGCGTTGGTTCCACTTTTCTTAGGTTTATTGAATCCTTTCGCCTCGGTGGGCGATGCTCATCGTTTGTGGTATTCCTTGATGTGCTTTCAGTTGTGTGTCGGTCATTTAGTGCTTCTACGGTGGCATGAACATCATCTTTAATTTCCTGGAGCTGTTGTTTGGTTAGTTTTTTCTTGTTTTTGATTTATCTCTGTTGCGTGGCTAGCGTATTAGCGTTGAGATGTAGGCGGGCGTTAGGGTTTCGTTCCCTTTATAGCTCGTAGGTGGCAATAATGTTGTGGATGCCATGTACTTTCCTTAATTAACCAGTGGCACCATATGACTTTTTCGTATTCCTCTTCGCTCCATTGTACTGTCCGGATATGGTTGGCTGCATTATTTCTAATGGTAGGGGAGTTTTGGTTGTTAATGGTGTTCTGGGTGTCTCTGTCATCATCCTTTCAGTGCGGTTCAAACTGTATTGCTAGGTCTGCAGGCACATCAGCTTTGATTTCTTCAATTTGTACCTCACTTAGTTTCTGATGTTTCTTGATAAATCGTCTTTGTGTGGCAAGCTTTTTTGCATCTATATGAGAGCGGGTGTTCGGGTTCCTTTTTCTCCAGAGGTCATACTTGGTGTTTATATTGCAGCTTTTCGTGCTCTTTTTGATGTACCAGTAGCACTATAATATTTCTTTGTGTTCTTCTGTGGTCCACCTCACTCGCTCTGTTATTTGCCCAGTCTGAGTGTATGTGTTCTTACCGGCAAGGCTAGTTGGTAGTGGGCTTTGGGCCTGTGGCGTTTGCTTCAGCTGATTCTGTTGTTTCAGTGTTCTTTTCCATGTTGTCTTAGGGGCCTGAGTTAATTATTCTGTATTATTATCGGATTGGTTGGTATTTCCTTTGTGGTTTTGGGTTTTTCTCGTTTTAAAATTGCGCGTTTCCATATTTTTTCCCACAAAAATGGTGAGGATTTAAAAGAGTCCGCCCGTAACCTCTTTCCGGGCAAGATTTAAGGAGGGGTTGCGATCTGGGCCGAAATCGGCCCCTCCACGGAATTGAGAAATTTTTGGATATACGGCAGTTGACAGCGCATATTTGACAGAAATAATCGAGTTTTGCCGATACTCACGTTCTTTGGCTGCGAAACAGGGGCCTAAACATGGCACCGAAGGCGAAAATAGCTGAAATTTCGCGTTTTTCGCGATTCTATCTCAGATTTCGACCTGGACCCGAAGGATACGAGTGATGAGCTTCGAATCTGGTGTCAAGGACACCTAGACACGTGACATACTTGAATATGATCAACCGTCGCCTCTGGGCCCAACTTCAAAATCGAACTTTTCCAACTTTTTAGCTTCCAACTTTTTCACTGTTGCTGCCAGGCGTTTTCCGCAGATAGTGCCAAGCAGAGGACTCGAGGAGCTTTTCCGACCGAAAAATCGCACTCAGCGGGTCATTTTCAAGCGATCATGCTTGGTTTCGGCTCGTTTGGCGAACTTTCGATTTTGACCCTTAAAAGGAGAGGTTGCGATTTGGGTCGAAATCGGCTCCTCCACGGAATGGAGAAATTTTTGGATATACGGCAGTTGAAATATAGCGAAAATACAGCTGAAAATCCATGTTTTTCGCGGTTCTACCTCAGATTTCGACCTGAGCCCAAAGGCGACGGGTGATGAGCTTCGAATATGGTGTCAAGGACACCTAGACACGTAACATACTTGAATATGATCAACCGTCGCCTCTGGGCCCAACTTCAAAATTGAACTATTCCAGATTTTTAGCCCGAAATAGCTGAAAATCCATGTTTTTCGCGGTTCTACCTCAGATTTCGACCTGGGCCCTATGGCGACGGTTACTCATATTCAAGTATGTTACGTGTCTAGGTGTCCTTGACACCATATTCGAAGCATCATCACCCGTCGCCTTTGGGCCCAGGTCGAAATCTGAGGTAGAACCGCGAAAACATGGATTTTCAGCCATTTCGGGCTAAAAATCTGGAAAAGTTCGATTTCGAAGTTGGGCCCTAAGGCGAAGGTTGATCATATTCAAGTATGTTACGTGTCTAGGTGTCCTTGACACCATATTCGAAGCTCATCACCCGTCGCCTTTGGGCCCAGGTCGAAATCTGAGGTAGAACCGCGAAAAACGCGAAATTTCAGCTATTTTCGCTTTCGGAGCCATGTTTAGGCCCCTGTTTCGCAGCCAAAAAACGTGAGTATAGGCGAAACTCGATCATTTCTGTCAAATATGCACCGTTAACTGCCGTATATCCAAAAATTTCTCAATTCCGTGGAGGGGCCGATTTCGGCCCAAATCGCAACCCCTCCTTTAATCTGGGAGGGTGCTTCGTATCCCAGGGCTCCGTACGACGACACCAGCCTAAGCGTCCTGGTGCCAAGAGACCCGTTGGGCATGGTTCGCATCAATACCCCAGGCCACAGGCAGTCCTCCCTGCAGATTTATTATTATTATTATCATTATCATTATTATTATTACTTTAGGTATGTAAAGCTGTTGTACTGGCTCACTTTACCTTAGCAAAAAAAAATTGGTCGAAGCGATTTTCTTTGGACTATGCACACTTCACAACCGTCGAGAAGAGTAGAGAAAAATTTTAAAATCCCGGAAAAGTTGCTCTGGACGCCCGCAAGAGCGATAAGTTGTTTTCCCTATGATGAAGCATACTCAGGCTCAGCTCGCAGTGTGAAAAAATGGGTCAGTGGGGAAGATGCATTTTTTCCTTAAAATTTTGCAGCAGCCCTCCTCAAGATGTACATAAGTCCTTCAGAGAAAATCGTGCATTTTGGTCTTTGTTTTCGACCTGAAATTGACGGCATTTTCTAAGCCCACGAGTTCCACCTCTCCCTCTCTGTAAGCCCACGAGTTCCACCTCTCCCTCTCTGTAAGTGTAATCTTGGTAGCAGGATATCGATTCTAATGTAATTTTGCTCTATAAGCACGAATTCTTGGTAAAAAAACTCTTCAACATTCCTGAAGTGGCCCCAGATTAGAAATATAGGTCAAAGGGACGAGGCATAAGCCGTCGTGCTGTCGCATACAAAGAATCCAGCAAGCGTTCCGCAGTATGCTGAGGCAACTGCCTGACATGAACAGAAGAATGTAGAACAAGGAGAGGAAGAAGGAAAAGGAGAAGAGTAATGAGAAGAAAAAGAAGGCGATCGAGAAAATGAAGATGAGGAAAAGTAAGAGGAATACCAAGAAAAAATATAAGAAGTCGAGGAATAAATAAGAAAAACCGCTACCAGTCTTAAATAAGTTGGGTGGTATCTAGCTTAGTTCCCAATTTTTACAAATGCCTTGAGAAATTTTGCTGTCTCTGTTTTTTCCGAAACCACTTTACACCTTGCACTGATTATTTTGCCAAATGGGTCAGTTGTGCCGGTCCCAAAATCGTGTTTTGATGCTTGATTCTTGTAGCCAAGCTAATAATAGTAAGATCCGTCCAAACAGCAACTTTTCACATTCAATATCAGCAGAGATATCGCCCTTTGAAAAGTCGGGTTTTTGACGTCATTCACTTCGGTAGTGACACCCTTGGTTTCTTCCACCTTGCTTTCATCTGAGTTGCACGTTGAGTGACTAGTGCAAATGTTCGTCTCCCTAACTGATGATAACAAGGTAGAAGAAACCAAAGGTGTCACTACCAAAGTGAATGACGTCAAAACCCGACTTTTCAAAAGGCGATATCTCTGTTAAAATGGAATGCAGAAAGTTGCTGTTTGGACAGATCTTATTATTCTTAGTTAATCTGCAAGAATCAAAGCATCAAAATACGATTTTGTGACCAGCACAACTGACTCATCTCACTTTAAGTCACACCTTCGGAGGTCTGTCATGATTAAGTGAATCATGTAAATATTTTTTTACAATTTCAGGTTCATGATATCAAGAAAAATTTTTACAAGAAATTTCTGTATGACCCGTTTCCTGTCGAATCCAGTTTGTTAGCAGTATTACCTGATCATATTAATGCAGAAATAGTGGCAGGAACCATAAAAAGTAGGCAAGAAGCTCTAGATTACCTCACTTGGACCTACTTTTTCCGGCGGCTTTTACAAAATCCCACGTACTATGGGCTTGAATGTCTAGATCCATCTATGATCAATCTGTTCTTATCCCAATTAGTTGAAAAATGCATGAAAATGCTGTGTGAAGCTTATTGCATTGTCTTGGATGAGGTGAGTACTTGTCGAAATCTCAGCATGATTATTGCAATCTCATCATTCATGATTGGCTACAAAATAATATATTTTCTGTTCTCTGACTGAATTGAGAATAAAAAATGTAAGAGTGTATACCTGGAAACTGTTGAAATGTGAAAGAACGTTAAAAACTGGAATCAGGCATATTTATTTTGGGTTTTCCTGGGAAATTGAGGACCATGCTGGAAGAAGGGCTTATGTACATGGTTCAACATCGTCAAAAACACACATTTGAAAGTTCGAATTGGTGTCCCAAAATATTGAATGGACCTATTGGTTAAACAAAAAAGAATTCTCCTAGATTAGATCTTAATGTTTTTAAATCCATTAAAAGTTTGAAAAAATAAATAATTTGCCCTCTGTAGTCATTAGACAAAGTGAGCCAGAGAGACGCCCTGCTTTTAAAAGCATAGTGTGCAAGATAAAAAGAAAGGATCGGTTTTTTTTTGTTTTGTTAACAACTCGAAAAGTAATGAAAGAGAAGGAAATCGGGGAAATCACTTTCTGCAAATGCAATGCTTTAAACCTACTCTCCAATTGTCCTTTGGACGCTATCCCCTGTTCCTTACAATACCCCACAAACCTTGACTTCTAAGCCATGAGAGACGGGGTTGAGAGTAATCCAAAACATTAGCACAGTTTTAACACTCTTTACTTGCACTTAAGTCATTAAGATACACACTCCATAACATGGCTCTGTGAGTCGTAATAATAAATAGTAATTTTCTCTTAGTTCTAAACCAAGGCGCGACTTCCAACACACAACTCAATAACACAATAGTATTATGGATCTACAATAAGGGGGGTATATGTTTCACTTGGGCCCGTGGCGCCAAGGGGGAGGTTCCTATCCGGTCGGAAATCGGGGCAGTGCCAATGACTACTTTGACCGTCTTGCGGTTGACGGAGCTAGGTGACTGGCTTGCGATTTCCAGATTTGCTAGGACACCTAGATTGGACACTTCCTTTCTCCCCGGTACGATGTGTCCCCGAATCTGCCTATGTAGGAAAAACTTGTCAATAGAGTCAGTCACATATCTCTATCTTCGGTTGCACAATCCCGCTTCGGTCTGGCTTTCGTATGAGTCTCTCGATGCCATCATGCTGGCTTGAGTCCCTTGAGTTTTCCTTACTTTCGGCACCTCTGTGAGACTCTGTCACCGAATCCTGACCTCCCATATCCGCGACGCTGCAGCTCGCTTCCCGGATTTGCAGGGCGCAATATACGCCCAGATCATTCACAATTACACTGCAGCATTCCGACAAGCCTAAGTTATTTAAGATCGAATCACTGGTTGCAGAGAAATCAGGTTTTCCTCGAGCGTACTTATTAATGCTTAAGACACTAAATTCAGTACCTTTTAGGTTGATTTCCTTCTTTTGTACCTCGTGAAGAAATAAATTTATAGCAAATCAAAGAAATCGGTCTCTGCTGAATTTTTTCAAATGAGCTTCTGGTGTTTCAAATAGGTCGATTTTTAGAGGATCAAACTGATCTTTTCCGATTACACATAAATAGGAAAAGTACATTGTTTTTGTTTGAAAACTGATATTACTCACTGTTGTGGGTACCGTAATATGGGGTGAATAGGGACAGTTTTTTGTACAAATGCACGTCTGTGGCCTACTGATTTCGAGAATTCCGTGTTTTTTTTTAATAGGAAGTTGTGACCTTTCGAGTCCTTTACTTTCCCCCAAAATCGTGATGATACAAAAATTTTAACTATTTTAAATTGTTTTTTTTACCCACTATCCCTATGCATCCTCCACTGGGGTGAATAGGGACACCAGCAGACTTCAATGTAAATAAAGCGTTGTTCCCATTCTCCTAACTGGAGAGTGAATGGAGACATTACCTGAGTTTTAAAAAAAAGTGAAATTCGAATCTGAATCGGAAAAACATGTCTTTAATTAACAAAAATTAAATAGTAAGAAGCAAACCGATAACAATAATTGTCACAAAAGGACAATTATTGTCCTTTACGCCCTGATCATTGTGAGATCTGAAAGATAAATTCCTCAATTAAACCAGGGCAGTATTCAAAATTCTCAGAATATGAAATAGGTACATAAAAGTATTCCACAGGATGTGATAAGAGGGGGAAAATGTCAAAGAAACCCCTCCCCAGTGCCTGAATCTATGATACTCAGACTCCCAACTGCTCGTTTTTTGGAGAAAAATATTCTTTAAACCACCTACATATCGAGCAAATTTCATCATTTTTGGTGATGAGCAAGGTAACTTATGATGTCAAAATGTAATAACATAAAAAAAAACTTTTCTTTAATTCGTGATCCACTTGCATGGGATGTTATCACGCTTGTTTTACCGCTTTTTTTCAAGGTCTGGTTTTGAAGCTATGTTGACATTTTATGCTATCACTAAACAACACCGATTACACCGGTTATTTAAAGAGGATGCCAAACTATGCATTTTCGAAAAAAAACGAGTTCTGTAGGTGCCAAACTTACCGAGTTATGACTAAAAAACGGAAATAAATAAAAATTGTCCCTATTCACCCGCCTGTCCTCATTCATTCCATATTACGGTACCATACAGGGTGGGGCAAAAGTCCCGGGACGGCTGAATATCTTTTGATCGGTTAGAGCTGGAGAGTTGAAATTTGGGGTACATGCCTGCAGTGAAAAAATCTATTTTTTTTTTTGGGAGGGGGGGTTCAAAATTTTGATTCCCCCTTCAGGAGGGCCCCCAGCCCCCCGAACTTTTTTTTTTCAAATAATAACCCCCATCTTGTGACGCATCATTCAAAAGAGCATAAAAAAGAAACTTGTTGCCAAAATGTCAAGCCGATATCTCAATTTTTCACAAAATAGCAGCCAAAAAAGGCAGGAAATCAGTCATATCCGATGAACCTCGACGAATTTGCATGGAATTTGATCTATGTGGGTTTTTGAGTCGAGAAGAACGAATTCAACGTCGATTTCCTAAAAATTAATTAAATTAATAAAAATTAATTCAAAAAAATTAATTATTATTTAAATTAATTCATAAAAAATTCGAAATGGCGGCTTTGGAAATTACCGGAAATCCTCATTTTTCGTTTATTCTAGACGGACTTGCATGCAATATGGAATCCGGTTGTTTTTTGGGTTGAGAAAAACGACTTTGGCCGTTTCTTACTATTAGGTTTGTCGTGCGGCAGTCCGAATCGGTGAGCAGGTAGAAAACCGGGTGGAGGATGTCCGAATCTCTAGCAACCTTTTGATACTTATTCGGCGCGCTATCCGTTTTTCATACATTCCACAGATAATATGATTTTCGCCACATGCAGTCAGTGCCGTTTTGACCATGGGTCGACTTGCAGCTATCGCGAAATGGTGTTTGTACTGCAGATGAGAGAGACGTCGCCCTCGAGGTGTGGATACATCCTTTAAATGTTCAAAGGAATTTACACGGTGCTTTTGTTACATTATACTCCGAACTTCGGAAGGACGGAAAAAAGTTTTTTAACTATTTTTTTTTTCTTTATTCATTATTTTTTAATTTCCTTCTTTTTAAATTATTTTAAATCTTTCGAAATTATTAACTTCTTTATTTTTTAATTATTTATTAATTTCTTTCTTTTTTAATTAATTATTTACTACTTCGATTGCTACTGTTGCCACTTGATACTTTTTAACTACCCAAATAAAAATGGAAGGTTCAATAAATCTTCACTTTGAATGAGAACAGCGAAGAGATTCGCAGCTGCACGTGGAATAACGGTCAGTACTAAACTAAAATACCTGGCTACCAGATGAAGTCTTTACGAAAATGCAGAATTTGGAATCTGTTGGAATGAGTTTGGAAGTGAGCCTCAATTAGCATACATGCACGAAGTAATCGCAGCTCACGCCAAAATATTATAATGCTTCATTCCTCGAAGAGCCATCCTCTGGGCTCTTGCAGACGTGATATTGACTGTGTGCATTGCTTGATAATTTCGGCGGAATCCAAACGGGCCGCCGGGTTGAGCTTGAAAGATTCAATTGGCCGCAATGCTCTTTCAACCCATCAGGCAACCGATTCGGGTGAAGGAATGAGCCACTGACACACGGCACGCCGGCGCACGAAAAATCGGACCGGGGAAGTGTGATAGACTCAATTCGCGTCAATGCTCCGCGGCCCGGGTCACGGATTTTCTACCTGCTCACTGATTCGGGCTGCCGGACGGCAAACCGAATGGTGTGAAACCGGCCTTTGACATTGGTTTTTCAAATTCTCCATTAGTGACAGAATGACGGCACAATTTATTCGGATAGATGGTTTTATTCTTGAAAGAACGGACAGAATAGGAGCATACTTGATTTTTCGATTTTGCATGGTTCTATCTAGAGACTCTTTTTTCGGGAAACAACCCCTTGGATATTCGCAGTACTCTTGACCAGTCACGGTACGTTAGACGATAAAAAGACAGATTACCGCGCATGGCACGAGACAGTTTGACTATTTGAAAGTCACGAAGTTTCATGACTCCACAAAATCGATTTCCGAAATGATTCTCTACTATTTCCAAAAATTTGACCATTCGTCGCAGGTGTTAGTTGAATCGGTAGTTCCTGACGGGGGGAATCATTCAATTCTATCCACATTGATAAGTTGGACCGCTGTGCGTGCAGCCTAGTTTCTAGAAGATAATGAAAAATCGGTCGAGTATATTAAAGCATTACCTTTTAATTAATTATCAATCAAGATTTAAATCCAAGGCCTATCAAGATGATAACATGGCTTAGATCTCAATCTTGTCATGCCAGTGCCAAATTATTTGCCATTTCCGTTATTTTAAAAAATAAAAAAAAATTCCGGCCCCCTTTTGCCTCCTTAATGTTGTTACAGATGAAAGATAAAAAACTTTCATCTGAGCCTTCTTAGTTTCCGCCTGCATTGGCAACGTTTTTGGTAGGTCCTCAAATTGTTTAATCAGTTTCTACGATACGGTGGAAAAGCTTTGGCAACTTATGACTGGTTGCTTTCACTGAATTTACTTATCGGGGTAAAACTGGTAAAACCGTCCAAGTCCCATCGTCAGAAAGCATTCATGTATCATTCCTGATCCATTGCAGTATCAAATTTTTGCTCCACAGTTAGTCGGTTTCTCAAGGTTTCTTTGCGTTTATCGTCATTAGTTGAGTCATTTTTGTGTAAACTCGGATGTGCATCATCTTTTCAATGGCAGGACCACGACTCACTGAGAATCAAAGAGTGACCCTGCTAGCCATTCTTGGGTATGGTGACAGAACTAGATCTCATGACGATGTGCGTCACATTTTCAATGATTTATTTGTGGAAAGTCCTTCAATCTCCCAGTCCACGGTAGAGAGAACTGTGAAAAGATTTTGGGAGGATGGTCTTGTTAAGGATAGGCCGCGCATTGGTAGACCTAAAATTGCGACATCTCCCGAAAAATCGGAAGAAACTCTGCTAACTTGTGTCGATAATCCGCGAACTTCAACTCGTAAGGCCCACTATGGTCCACAGACCCTATTTAACGGAACTTCAGTCAAATTTTGAGGGTGGAAAAAATTAAAGTTTGGCACTAAAGTTTTATAATACATACTCTCATGGATCGTCACCTAAGTTTCCATTGACTAATAATGATTTATAAGATTGTGACGGACCCTAACAACAGAGCGCACGACAGGTCTTCATTAGCTGTTTGTGAGCCGCATTCGGTGGTGTGTTACAGGGTGTTTATTTTACCGAGTTACGCCTCATCTATGTAAATTTTTGGGCAACATGGATCCACCTGATGGCAAGTGACTTCCTTTTCACCCCGTTTCATTAATTTTGAACCGAAATTTGTATGCTTTTGAACGCTCCAAACATACGCCAAAAAATGCTAGAAATCAGTGAAATTCGTAATTTTTAGGAAGCTCTAACTTTTTTTTAATTCTAGTTAATGCTTTGCAGATTGAAAAATCTTGTTCAACATATCCTTAAGTTTAAAATTATGCCAATTTAAATTGCGCCGTTTTGCGCCTAACGGTCGAAATCAATTTTTTTCGGAGTGCACCTCCGTACATCAAAATGTGGAATATTCCATGCATTTTTGGCGTTTTTGCGACTGTTAAATTTTTTCAGGTACAAAATAAAAGTATTCCGATATATTTTGATCTACTGAATCCGAAAATGACCTTTTTTCCGAAAAAGCGACTTTTTCCCGGGAAAATGAGCAATTTTGACGTATTTTTGTCATAATTGCAATTCATGTTGATAAATTATACTGGACCCGTGGTAAAGAGATTCTGTCATGTATATTAAGCTGCTAAATCCGAATATGACATAGGTTTTGGTTTATCACCCTCCAGTTCTCCGATAATGCCGATTTTTCCGCCGCCGATAGTGACTTATTCCAATGAATTGCTGTCAGCGAATTTCCTCCGATACCAAAACTTTTTAGACTGAACTGGAGTACTAGTGTGGTGTGGCACAACCAACAATACCTAATTTTTTTTACCCATTTTTCACTGCGTTGTATTTCTTCGGACAATTAAAACGCTGTCACGGATATTTTAGTAATTGTAGTCAAAAGCCTCAACCCTCTTTTTTACTGCCTGAGGATTTTCAAATTGTGCTCCTGAAAAGATTTCTTCTGTGACACTCGTGTACATTTTTATCTGAATCTGATGAAGATATTTTCAATTTTTTCCCCGTTACATTACTGATTTTCCTTTATAGAAGCAAGCTGAAGCGTTTTTTTTAAAATTTTGGACGATTAAAATTTTTAGAGGTTACCGAAGTTGAAGAAAGTTCGATATTTCTTAAACAAATTTCAAGAAACGATCAATATTCAACTTTCAAAATGTTCAAAAACAGGTTGTTTATATAGGCGGTCATTAATTACACAACTAAACAAAAATCGTCCAAACATCTTTCATGGTTCCTGAGAAAAAGGTACATGCAGTAACGAATATTTCCATGCTTTTGCACAGAAAAGTGA